GGCTCACAGGGAGATTTGAAGATGAAGGCGGAGGGGTAAGAGATGAGACCCAACATTCACTGGTTTCCAGCTCCAAGCTGGATACAACACAGGTTGCTTGCCGTACCTTTAGTTCTACTTAAGCCTCACCTTGATTGTATGAGGCAGGTGCTAGCTCACTGTGGCACTGAGATCAGAGATGAAGGGACTATCTTCGGGATGGTCACCAAGATATCTTCCCACTACCCCATGTGACATTTAACTTAGGAGGGGGCCCAAGCCCAGAAGTCATTCAGACCCCAAGGAATGAGGCAGGAGCAGTTCACCCGGGCTACAGCCTGCCTGGCAGCAGCCAACATGTGCCAGGGCACAGGGGACAAGCCTCCTTCCTTCTTGACTGCTCAAGATGTAGAGGGACAAGCCTGCCCCACTGAGAAGCCTCTGGGTCCTTGCAGCCACTCATGTCTGTCACTTCTGTAAAACAAGAAACAGGTCTTCATTTTACAGATGAAGAAACCAAGGCCAGGCCAGTGAGGGAGTGGGTAAGTCAGGCAGGAGAACCAGGGCCTCTAGGAGGACCAGCCCATCTGTCAGCCCGGAGCGCAGGAGTCTCAGCTGCAGGTAGACCAAGGAGACCAGAACTCCATGGAACCCAGTCTGGGTCCAGCCAACCACAGACCCTATGTGACCCATTCTGAGCCTCAGACACCTCATCTGGGATAGAAGCGGTTTGGGAGACAGCAGCAGCAAGTGAACTGCTGCCTGCTCAAGATCCAGAGGTGCCTGCACCCACCTCACAGGCTCCTTCCGGGAAGGGCCTCTCCCAGCTCCTCAACTCTCAATTAAGACTCCGCGAGCGCCGTGGGGAGAAGACAGGAGCCAGCACCTGGGATTACGATATCAGATGGTTCCCACCCTGACAGGTGCAAGTCCTGGGCCCTGGGCTGGAAGTTGCCAGAGCAAAGAGCCTGGGCTGTCACTACCTCTTAGGGCTCTAGCTGGGCCAACACCACGCCACTACAGCCTCTCTCTCTAAGTGCTAGGGGGTCCTGGTGCAGTGCATGGCTTAACACAAGGGACACTGCGTGGACACAAGAGTAAGCAACATGATGAACAGAACCACTGCTGCATCTGCAGGTTGTCGTTACTGTGAGATGATTATGTGACGTGTGCCTAGGAAAGGGTGCAATGGATGCCCACCCTCCTGGTCCCAGGAAAGGGCTGCACAACTCCTAGGCCAAAGGGACTGGCAGAGCCATGGGCTCCCACCAGGGCTCAGTTTCTTCCTCTGGGCAATGGAGACAATACCTACTTTATGGAGTTGTGGAGAGGATTACAGTGTAGGTAAAATGCCCGCTCAGCATCTGGCATCTAGTTGGCATTTAATAAATGCCTCATTAAGCTGCTTTTATTCTCCTGGAGCCAAGCTGTAGGCCAGGACTTCAGTGTGTGAAGGCGGGGACCTGACAGAAAAGATGTGGGGTTAATCCTGCATCATAAAGCCTGGGCTCTAGTTACTTCCTGCCTTGGGCAGGACACTAACTTCTCTGAGTTTCCATTCCCAAGCCCTGGCCTGGCAGGCACAGATCTGGGTTCTAGTTGAATACTCACCCCTGGCAACTCATCATCCCTCAGTTTCCCCAGCCGTAAAATGGAAAAATGTGTTTGTCTCTGCCCCTAGGGCTGTTCCCTGGGTTGTCAAGGGCTGGGAAAGGGGGCTGCCAAGACTAGGGGCTTGGCACTTGTCAGAAAGGTAGCCCACTAGGACACCGGTGCTCAGACCTGGCTGGGCTACAGCTCTCAAGCCCCCATCCGGGCCCAGCCCGGCCCCACCCACTCTGAGCGTAGCAAAGCAAGGGCAGCTGGGCTTTTGTCCTCCCACCTGGTATGCACAGCATACCACAGCAGGCTTTTCCTCAGATAAACCACTGGTTCCCAGGGGTCGGAGGAGGGCATGAAGGTGACACTCCACCTGGGAGTCAGAGCCCACTGAGGCTGGAGGGCAGCTCAGAGAGTACAAGCTGTTGGCTCAGGGACACTCAGCCAGGGGTGTAAGATGCAGGAGCACCCATCCCTTGTTCAGAGGTATCTAGAATCACAGGGCAGCTAGGTGTCAGAGCTGAAGGGACCCTTAATGATCTTGAATGCCTTACCCATTTTACAGACAGGGTGGTGGGAGCCGGGGTGTCTCCCAAGTCCCACAAGCCAGGTAGGGCACAGGCAGGGGCCTGACCTCATACTACTTGTCCCCGGAACTATCACCCACTATCCCATACCTGTCATCTGGGAAAGGAGGGTGCAGTAGGGTAGTCCTGACGAGAACACAGCCACTCCCCAGCAGCCGAGCCTGCGTGGGCTGAGTGTCTGCTGTGTCACTTCCCTGCCCCAGGGTCCACTGTTGTGCTGACGACAGGGCCAGGTGAGTGAGGAGGTGGCAGGCTGGGCCGCCCTGACTCAGCGCCAACAGCCACAGCCCAGAAACCCCTGTGGAAAGGGAGCTGCGAAAGGCCTGCTGCCCAGACAGCAAAATCTCCATCCAGGTCTAGGGGCTGGGCTCTCCAGCACTGCTGTGGGGTGAGAAGAGAAGGCAGGGGAGGGACCAAGAGGTGGTCATAAGAGGAGAAGGCAGGGAGCTCCCCACCAGGTGAGTAAAGTGCCCTGTCAGCATCCGCCAGTGTCCCGCCATCCTGCCAGGGACGCAGCCTGGGAAGCACTTAGGATAGGGGAGACAAGGATTATAGGTCACCTGGCTCAGCTGCTCCTCCCAAACCCTGTCTGTCACTCTGTCCTGCTACTGTCACCCGGGCATGAGGGGCAGGTACAAAGGGCAGGCCCAAGAGTTTGGGTGAGACACAGATCTGCTCGCCACCCTCCACCCAAGAGCTAGCCTAGTGATGTTGGGCAAGGATGCACTTGCCCGGCCTCAGTTTCTACACCTGAGAAATGGGGAAAATAACATTCTCAGAGAGAACAGCACCCTACATGCCACTGCATCCACATTAGTTACTGTGATCACTGGCCACCCACAAGCACACTGTCTGGCCATGGGTTCGGGACAGATGTGGCAGGAATGCCTAAAGGGCCAGAGAGCCAGAGCTTGGTTCAAAACAGCACTAGAGGTCATGAACAAATACTGCCCTCCATGCTGCAACATCCCCATCTGTGACAAGGCCTCCATTGCCTCTGAGCCCCTCCTGTTAGAAATGGGGAGCCATCACTGTGGTGCCACACAAACAGACCAGGACTGGCACCTGAGATCAGCATCCTTCTGCCTTCACCACCAATAACCTTGGAGTTGCTCAGGAGTGGAGGGCCAGGACTATATGGAGTGGTTGGGTCTCAGCTATGATCACAGAGACATGAGAAAGAGGCAGGGCTCAGCACAAAATGCCCTGAGTGCCCAGCCTGGCATCCCTGTCTGGCCCCATCACTGGGACAGGCTGTCATTCTGTCTACAGGAGGTCAGGCACTGGGACCATGCCCAGGCCAAGCTGCAAAGCAGTACCTGCCTCCTTCCTATTGTTGAAGGCGAGGAAAGGTACAGCAGGTTAAGCCCCTCCCTACCCCAGGCCTCAGTTTCCCCATTTAAAAAATAGGGATGCATCTGGGTGATGGGATGCCAGCAGGCCTTCTCTGAGACTGGCTCTGTGACCAGCCAGAGTCACCCCCACAATCACTGATGTCAGTGGCACCTTCCTACCCTTTGGCAGGTATGGGGCAGGTTATTCCACCTGAAAACTATGAAAGTCCCTTCCTCCTCTCCACCGCCCCCCTCTTCCATCTCCTTCCTCAATCCTGTCACTGGATACTCCAGCCTCACAGTAGCCAGAGGCTCAGCTTTTGTTCTCACCACCCCATTTTACAGAATGGAAACTGGAAGCCTCGAGCCACCTGAGACCCAGCCCCCACTTTCTGGAAACCTGAGCCAGGGGGCCAGCTTCTAACCCACTTTTAGTTTCTCTGCCCAAAAGCTACCCAGAGTCGCCTGTGAACCAGGAAGATCCCCCAAACCAGCATTCTGGTCTTGTGCAGTTAGCTGCTCCACTCTTGGGCTGGAATAGTGATAGGATAAGGCTCAGCCAGGAAGCCTCCCTCACCCCACAGGCCCAGGCCAGACCTAGCTTCAGAATCCTTCTCAACACAGCCCACTAGGGGTCAGTCACCTTGGGATGTGCTCAGAAACCATGAAAAGCCATTTTCCAGAGAGCATCTCTCTTAGTCATGGCTGCAGGCAATGGCTAGGCCATCTGTAAATGTCTCTGTCTCTGCCAGCACCTATCTCGGTATGTGTTGTCAGTGGTTCAGTGGGGCACTGCCCAGCTCAGTGAGGTCAGGAATGGGAGGTCCAGACAGGGTCTGAGAACCCTTCTAATGGCAAAGCTCAGCCCAAGCGGACAATCATCAGTAGAATTCAGTCATCTTCCACTGAGGACATCAGGTATATCCTGAGGCACTTCCCCCATCTCCTCAGGCATCTTGGCCGGGAAAGTTCCTGCCACTGACAAAAGGGCTCACGGAAGTTGAGCAACTCACTTTCAGTTGTTCAGCATAACCAGGAAAAAGCAATTTCAACTCAGGTCTCCAAGCCAGACTAAAACAGACAGGTTGCTTCTTAATCCCCACACCTATCACTCCAAATCCCAACAAAAGCCCTATCCACCAGAGCTCATGGTGTGTGGGAACCTCCTGAGTCTCAGGAGTGAATCAGTGTCATCCTAAGAAGAGTAGGTAAGAAAAAGTTGTGCCATTCCTCCCCACCCCACTCTCCAAAGCATCTCCAGGGGAACCTGCTCACCAGGCTGAGGGAATGCACAACATATGCACAATGGCCCTTTGAGATGAGGCAGCCCACTGTTACCTGCTAGAGGGCTTGGGTACCCTATTCCTTTGCAAGGACACTGAGCAACCCCAGGAAGGCCAGGAGGAAACCTCCTTCCAGGAAGCAGCCAGGAAGAGACTGTTTTGGGGTCCCCAAGCTGGGCTCCAGCGACCTCTGCAGGACTCCCATTCTGGCTCCTCACCTTCTGGGCCTGGCTGATCATCTTGCGCACCACCTCTTTGATATGCGCCTGCCCCTCCATCGGGGGCTGCATGTAGACGCTGGCCCGAGTAACGCCGCGGTAGGCGATGGTGTCGGGCCAGCCCAGGTCCAGCTGCGGGATGGAGCGGTCGGACTTCTGGGGCCAGTACTCCAGCGAGGGGGGCGGCTCGGCCTCGGTAGGGGTTCCGTCTGCCTCGAGGGCTTCCTCTCCGCAGTTAGCTACCCCATTGTCCTGGGGCCCCTGAGCGAGGCTATTGCCTCGCAGATCCTCCGAGCCTGGGTCGTACACCTCGATGGTTTCCAAGATGCGCCTGAGTTCCAACTCCGAGAGGAAGTCGCGGATGTTCTCGCGCTGAAGCACTTCATAGAAAGCCTCCCGGCCGCGGGCCACCAGGGCCTCCAGCGCCAGCCGCTGCTCTTCGCTATAGAAGAACTCGGGCTTGGACTCGCTCGAGCGCCAGTTCACGTGGCTGTCGTCCAGACACTGCACCTGGGAGAAGGCCATCGTGTCGCCTGGCCGCGCGCCGCTCGCGCAGGCGGCTGCGTGGTGCTACACAAGATCGAGTCCTAACTACGGCCCCGGCCGAGGCACCAAGCGCTCTGAGACTTCCCGGCTGCAGCGGCTCCTCTGCCCATCAGGAACCTGTGGGAAAGAGCTGGTGACTGCCGGGAGCAGG